AGCTAATCTAACAAAAGTACACTTTGAAACATTTTGGTGGGAAAGCACGTCTAAGTAGCCTGGATGACGTATTCATCCCTGGATGAGACCCTCTTCATTCATTCCCTCGCTCTTGTCGTCTCGGCTCAGCTCATCCAGCCAACTCCCACCATTCAGCCGAGTCTGGACATCAGTACTGCCTTCTGCGCAAACAAACTCTGACAGGGGTGAAAGTTCCATTGGGTGACATTCAGATTGTGTTGGCTCCATTGTGTTGGTTACTTCACATAACAGAGTCTATTATAACACAAATATCAGACACAGAAGGTGTGTCGGCTGACAGGAGAGCGCTTGTTCCAGCTCGGAGCGAATCCATGATTTGTTATCTTTGGGTAAATGTTAGCATTCGTCTGTCCAGCGGAGGCAGAAGGGAGCTGTTTCAAATGTCTTGTTTCTGGTCATTAGCATTTTATTAAGTGTATCTCTCTCTCTCTTTTTTTCCCAGGGTCCTCCTGGACAACGTGGTCCTTTGGGTCCTGTTGGACCAAGTGGAGCGCGGGTAAGATTAGCTGACTTTGTAAAACCGATTCGTAGTTTACTTTGGACACACGAGCGCTGCATGTCGTTATGCGAGTTTTAGGTTAAAAAAAAAACAAAAACAACCTCACTGTAAGTCATGACACCGATGCTTTACGTAAACTGCGTCCCCCAGTGTGTTGTCGCACACCAGTGATTGAACGTTGTTTCTTCACAGGGACCACCAGGAAACCAGGGATCATCTGGACCCAGAGGCCCCCCAGGGTCCATGGTGAGTGTGTGTGTGTGTGTGTTTGGTGATGGGACAAGTAAATACCCAACATGTCCTTTACTTCCTGGAACATCCACGACTCTACTGTCCCACTTTGCTGGAAGCGTCCTACAGCCCAGAGTCTGGGCTGCTCGACCGTGAAGATGATAGAATAATATTCTGTGGTTCTGCAGAGATCTGGATCCAGTTCCCTCAGCCACTGTGCCATGAGGCAGCGTTCCAATATAGAATTCACTTTCACTGTATACAGTCCAGAGTGTTACTGTTTCCACTCCCACCCCCCCTCCCCTCCGCCCCCCACTCCTGTTGGCAGCCCGTGCAGCCACATTTCCACTTGGCTGAGTCAGTATGGATCCCAACCTAAAGCCCGACACTCACACAACCGTAAAGTAAACATTACGCTTTTGTTTCCCTTTTTTTTTTCTTTTCTAGGGAAGCCCTGGAAATCCAGGAGTACCAGGAATTACTGGAAAACCAGGAAAATCAGGAGAACCAGGAAATCCAGTGTGTATTAAATAACATCAGATCAATAGTTTGAGTTGACGATGGATCGACGGCTGACTGATCAAAAAAACCTCTTTTCTCTTCTCATCAGGGACCTGTTGGAATTAAAGGAGAGAAAGGAGAGAGGGTAACGCCGCTTCACCTGTTCAACATACTGTGTGTCCCATTTAGTGGACTGCAGCCTACACAATATGCAGTCAACGCATTCAACAGACAGAGATCATTTGTGAAATCTCTGATGATTCTTAAACCATCTTCACTTTAGCCAATGGGGGTTAAAGTTAAAATCCAAACAAAACAATCAAATACATTTAGTGTACAGTGCTCCTGTAGCCTACAACAGGGGTCCCCAACCCCCGGTTCGAAGGCCGGTGCCGGTGCCGGTCCGTAAGTCATTTTGTACTCCACTTCTACTGAATGGGACACCACACACCTGTACTTGTTCTTCATCCTTCTCATAAAAATGTCTTTGTTTCCAGGGAGACTTTGCGTCTCAAAGCATGATGCGCTCCATCGCCCGACAAGTTTGTGAACAGCTCGTTAACAGTGAGTTCAAACTTTCCTTTGGCATAAAAAAAAAAGAAGAAAAAAAGTTTGCCGTTGCGTCGTGTCAAACATTAGTCTCATCCAAAATCGCTCTGCTTCTCCCTGAAAGGTCAAATGAGCAGAATTGACGTGTTGATCAACCAAATTCCACCTAGTCCACTGAACAGCCGTCCAGGACCTCCTGGTCCCGCAGGTCCACCCGGCGAACCAGGTAACCGCGGAGAGCAGGGGCAACCTGGACGAACTGGTTTCCCCGGAACCCCAGGAATACCTGGAAATCAAGGAGAAAGAGGTACGGGGTTTTTTTCTCCAAAACGCCGAGACATGCAGTAAATAAAACCACCATGACACCAAATTTGTAAACTGTCAGCATTTTTTTTTTTTTTTGAACAATAGCTTAGCTCCACTAGCATGTGTGGTCTACACATTATTAAAGCCAGTGTGTTGCAAAATATGGAAAATTGAAGGGTTTTTTTTTTTCTCATGCTGTTTCGATTTGCGCTCGTGTCTGGTTCTGTCTGACGGTTCTCACAGCAGAAACGGCTTTAAAGGTGTCAGATATAAATCTCCCCATTTGTTAATTGTTTGTTAAGGTGTGCCAGGAGAGAAGGGCGAGAGGGGATCTCCAGGAAACAGCGTCAGAGGACAGAGAGGACAGTCCGGGCCACCAGGTAACCCGATGCATTTTCAACGTGCTGGACCCATGTGACCACAGCGTGTGTGGAACCCGTCCGCCCAGCAGCTGCGCACAGTTTGCTGGTGTCGCACTGTGACAGCTCCTTCTTTTCTTTGGTTTCACAATTGAAATGACACTCGAAGACCACAGACACAGTCCCCGTCCTTTTATCCCTTGATTTACAGTTCGTCTTGTTTTTACTGAGGACTTCCAAACGATGTGCACATGCAAAAAATTACACCACGAAGGGAAAGAATTTACATCCGAGAAAATCACTGCTCATAGAGTTCTGACAACCTGCAGTCGGTCTGCAGCGAGAGTCACGGAGCGTGTCTTGGACATCGTTGTCTTCTGACCGATTGTGATACTGTTTTTTTTTTCATCACTACAAAATATTGTTTTTATTCCAGGGAAACTATTACGATAAAATAAGAAACATCGATCGTGGTGACATATTTTCCCGACACTGACGTGTGTGTGTGTGTGTGTTTCTGAATGAAGTGAGAAACCGTACCAGGCGGAGGAAGTCCACACTGATGACCGGTGTGCGTAGGTGTGTGTGTGTGTGTGTGTGTACAAGTAGGGGAATGTACAATGGGCTTTCTTTAGTTCCTTCATTGACAACACATGGGCTCACTTAAGGGGTGGAAGGGGGGGGGGGAGGGGGAAATTCCATACTGAGTTTTCACTGTCTAGACACACAGGGCCAGAGGGGCAACTGTTCACGACTTCAGACTTTTTCTTACTTTCCATTTGGGGTCCGGCTTTTTTAATTGAGCCATTGAAAAAAAAAAAAAAGAAAATCTTAATTACAGATCTGCAGCCTCAGGTTACCCCCACCATTTCCACTTGAAACAAGTTCTGATCTCCAGTCATCTCCTTGTTTCCAACGCTCTGTCATTCAACTTCTTTCTTCTTCCTTTTTTCCAGGACCACCAGGCGAGTCAAGAACAGGACCCCCAGGTCCTAGTGGCTCCTCTGGGGTTCGTGGCCCTCCAGGTCGCCAGGGTACTCCTGGAGTCAGGGGACCACCAGGACCCCCTGGATACTGCGACTCTTCTCAGTGTGTTGGTATTCCTTACAACGGACAAGGATACACAGGTAGAAATCTCTAGAGTCTGAGTCCGGCATGGAACAGAGGAGAGACAAACACTAAGTGTATGCGGACTAATGAAATGGCAACCGAGTGCTGATCCTCTCACTTTGGTAATGTATGGAGGTATACATGTCAGTGGTCCACACTTGAGGTGGTGAACAGAGAAAAAAAAATTTACTAAACCCCTTCCTCGTTGACAGTAACTGACTGTACGACATCGTTTCCCGTCCTGCCAAACTACAGAGGCAGTTTCCACTCGTGAGTCCAGGAAAAACATCAACGTGCAACAAAAAGTCACTTTTCAACACAGAACACGTGCCAGTATTTGAGCACCCTAAAAAAAATGAAACCAAAGTGAAACCAACCGATCCTGTCGTCACAGTCGTCAACATATCAACAAATAAAAATCATATTGCAAAAATTAAGATAAATAAAAATGAAACATTCTGCGCAGTTGGCGGAAGTGAAGCGGTTAGCAAGTCTGCCTTACACTCAGAGGGTCCTGGGTTTCAGGATTCACAAACTCAATGGCGCCTCCTGTGGCAGCATGTGTGTGTTGCAAAGACTCACACTGTGAATTTTCCCATTGTGGGACAAATGAGGGACTCCATTTTTAATATTCTTTTTTTTTAGTGAACAAAGCCGGCTGGAGTGAACACAGCCGGCTGGTCAGAAAGTGAGCAGAGCTTTAAACCCATAGAACATTACCAGTGAAAAACTCGCCTTCCTTCAAGTAAATATTTAGCAATCGCCTTGTTTACCTTTAACAGGCAGGCCATATGTCAGCAAACGATGATTTGAAGCCAAGACGTGAAAACAAATAGAAAACTTTGACAACTTAAAAGTAAAATGACAGGTGAATTAAAGACGGCCAATGCCTTTAATCTTGGCAGAAAAATGCCGTTCTTATTCTTCAATGTCAAAATGAAAGATTAAAATACCGAATCTCTGCTTCAGGCCAAAATAAGTAAAATGCTGTTCTTATTCTTTAAAATACCGAATCTCTGCTTCAGGCCACGTAATAAATGTCTCTCACATTTATTAGGTAAAAGTAAGTAAAATTAAATTTAACACTAGTTGCAGTGCTAGCTAGCAGCGAAAATGCTAACATGTCAGAAAGAGCACTCCTTGTCTCAACAACAGACTCTAATTTAAATACTAAATTTAACACTAGTTGCAGGGCAAAAAAGCACTCCTCGTCTCAACAACAGACTCTAATTTAAATACTTTTTAGGTAGAATTGAAGTATTTTTACTAAATACCAGGGAACAGTCGGAACATTTACTTTGTTCAGTATTCGTGTTGTGACGGCGTAGCTAGCTAGCACCACAACTACCACTTTTTTTGGGGGAAGAAAAAAAAAATCAACCCAACAGTGAGAATCTTACCATAAAATGATACTTCATTTTGAGTTTTCTCGAGGCCGGGGTTTGGTAAAGGCTAGGTCCATTAGCACGACACTGTAATACCTCCATACATTTGGTGTTTGATTTTGAAACTGGCATGTCAATTGCATTCTAGTAGTGTATGATTACTTACAATAGATCAATCATTTGCTAATAACTTTGTTCCACAGAGAAAAAAAAACAAACAAACAAAAAAAAACTCACACCTTCTTTGAACTATTTTCAGGTATGGCATAGTAAACGCTCTGTCATCTGTGCCACTTTACACTTTGAAGCCGAGTTTCTGAGATGTTTGCCCGTGTGCTTGAGGGGCATGTAAGGATAATCACCATGGACTTAATTATTGAACAGTAAAAACGACATTACAGAGAGCTTAAAACAAAACAAACAAATACACGAACAGAACGGAGAGGACTGGCACTAACATCATCTCACAGCTACCAGCTACAGTGATGGCAACCTGCTGGCCTGTTTGCATCTTGAACCACAAACCGTTGGGGGAAAATATGTTTAAAAGCAAAGACTGAGCATTTCTACGAAGGAAGGAGCATGAACAAAAAAAAAAACCCAAAACAACCCAAACAGCTACTAACAAAAAGGTTTTTACAGCTGAAAACAACATCGATGAGTTGGTGATATGTGTAAATAAAACTAATTGTTTTTGTCTTGTAAATGATTGTGTGAACAAAAAAAACAACAAAATTCAGTTAACATCTGTATGGAGCTTGTGCCTCGTAACGCTCTGCTTACTTACCAGCAGCATAACCTCTGTATTTGACTCCGTAGTGGCTTCAACAGCTGTGGTCTAGACTTAAGCATGTTCCATTTGTACTTTAATCCTCGTACGCTGCCCAGATCGGTGCTACGCGCGTTGCTTTCCCTGCCGTTTTCCCCATGTGTCTTGTTGTGGCATTTTATCATGTCTTTTTTTTTATTTTATTTTTTTTATCCAGTACTTTTGTGGATTTTTATTGTAAATGTCATCACAGTTTTTGCTAAATATCTAAATTTCCTCCGGTACTTTATCTAGGAAGCTGTAGTTTGACACAGGGAATTCTCTCAAAGTCCAGAGTGCAATATAATTTAATTTGTGCATGCCAAACTATGTTTTTTTTTTTTTTTTTGATTGGCCTTCCTGGATATTTTTCTAGCCAACCGCTTCCAGCCGGAACCTGAGGTAGAGTCTATATCTGTGGAGCCAGCTGGAGAGTTTGAGTCAATACACTCACCTGGTTACTCACGAAACCAACGAGGAAAAAGATCACTAACAACAGACAATACAGACACTTTATAGCTACAGCAAAGAGCTCTCCGCAACATTGATGACATTGGTTACTTAATGTGAGGTTAAAGATATGCAGAAAAAAAAAGTACTTATATGGGTTTGATACCCCTGGTTATATTGAACATATATATTTTTTTTTTTGACATGAAAAAGTTTAGCAAGATGACTACAAGCCTACATGTTAATTCATTAAAACCTGTGTGCTTGCTAAGTTTTAAGTGTCTGCTTGTAAAATAACGGCAAGTGTTTATCCAGAGTCCATCGTGTGAGGCACTAATTATGTAAAGAAAAACAAAGAATTTCAACGTGTCAAGCTGTTTCAGATTAGCCCCAAACGCATCGCTAACTTGGACAATCGATTTGATCTCCAAAGTCTTGTGCATCGTCCTGTTTTGTATGACGCTTTAAGGCGAATGATAATCCGACCTATTGTAACAAACCAAACGTTTTGTGTATTTTTATTTTTTTTTCCTCAAAGGTGGAATTGCATGTTTATGTTGTATATTTACTGAGGATTTTGTACGTCAGAATATACGTGTTCCCCATCAATGCAGTTGGAATTGAGTTGCCAGATCTTGGACATACCATTGCTTTTCCCATGGTTTAACTGCACATCTTGTGAATTCCACGCAGCTTTATTTTCTTATTTATTTCTGAAACAGATGAGGCATTTTTCAATAAAACTACTGAAAATGTTCATTTTGGATTCCGCAGTGACTTTTTTCACAGCTGTGAATATAGAAGCTACGAAATACTCTACTGATACTTCCTTAGGTTGGGTTTCAAAAAACATGTCAAGAACTGGGAGACAGTGTTATGTGCAGTAGATAGCGCCACCCTATTGGTTATATGGTGAAATGCAGTGTGCAGGTGGAAACTCAACCCAAATTAAAATTGAGATAGATAAAATGAAACATTCTGCACAGTCGGTCGAAAAAGTAGTTAACAAGTCTGCTTTACATACACAGGGTCCCGGGTTTGAGGAACCACATGCGTAATAGCGCCTCCTGTGGCAGCCTGTCTGTTGCCAAGACTCACACTGTGTATTTTCCCATTATGGGATGAATAAGGGACTCCATTATTTATTTATTTTTTAGTTAACAACCAGCTGCCCCAGAAAGTGAGCAGAGCTTTAGACCAATAGAACATTTCCATTGAAAAACTCTCCTCATTCCACTACATTTTTCAGCACTTTTCTTTTCGTTTATATTTCACAAATTAACACACAATGTTAGTAAAAATAAGTCTCAGCAGATTCTGGATGCTAAAGAATCCAGCCAAACTGCTGACGTCGTTGAGTTATTTAAATATATGTTGTACCCGTGAGGACACGGTGAGACACTGCACTGCAGTAGGAAACAACACAACTCAACATTCGCTGACGGCTGAACATCTGGTTGTGGTGAACGGCGGTTATGAAGTCACAGGTTGCTGGATTCATTGGCATGCACTGGAGTACTAGTATGCGCAGAAGTAAGTATCAGATGCAGTCAGTATTGGCATGTCCTTATTTAGAGAAGCAAAAGATACTTCGATGCAAATATTTATCCCAAGTTGACATTAGCAGCTGTTAGCAAATGCAATTGTTTTCATTGAAACGTATACAAATCATCAGTTTCATTTTAAACTGTCAGTCTCAATATATACACAAATATTTTAAAATGTACGTATATGTTGACGGCAGAGGTTAGTCCAGGCCACCGAGCCGTTCTGCGTCAACAGTAACAAAGTGTGAAAAGACATGGTCCAGAGTTTTCACCGCAAAACCTCCACCAGACTCTGACACGCCCCCACCTGGCTCTGCTCCTATCAGGCTGTAATGATTATCCTGGAGATTTACACAAGGAAACAATGAAATTGTGTTTCCAGACCTGGAAAACTTCACAGATTCACGCTTATTAAACTTATTCCTTGTGATGAAACTGGAGATACGTGAGGTCAGAAACCACTGACGCAGTTTCCCTTTATCACCACGGAACAAACACCAAGATGGAGGAGGAGACGTGTACGTACGAACGCCAAAGACCACAGAGGAGCTGGGGAGTGTAGAGCAGGTCGTGGGTCACTGCTCTGTCTGGATGACATCCTTACTGCTTCCTGGAAAAACAACAACGACTTGTTTTCTTGACTCTTTATTTCATTATTTCTTTATGAAAAGCAGACGATAAGTCGACTTTGAATGAGGTTACTGTGCGTCTCAGGAACGTCAAAGGTTCTCACAGGTGAAGAACCTCGTGAGAGGAGGAACATCTGGTCCTTTTTCATTCCTAACAACGCTTAATGCACAGAACAGGTCCTGCCTGAGGATAAACTGAGGAACCATCGATAATAAGCCCGACTCCCATCACCATTATACCAGTACAGTACACATGGTATGATGTGACTCCTGTAGGTGGAACCTGGTTTTTGACCTGGTACAAAGACTTGGCCTTGATAACTTCAAGGGCACTTATACGAAGAGCTACTTGTTTGATAAAGACTTCCCGAACAACGTAATAATAATTAGTTCCTGGACAGACAATAGCAGACACTCTTCTTACTAGGGATGTCCGATATTTACTTTTTGCGATATCCAATATGCCAATATTATCCACATACTTAATTTCCGATTCTGATATCAACCGATACCGATATATGCATCCGTTTGCCCCCAAAACTGGAGTAAATGTCTCAGCGATTCCAACACATTTGTCAAAACCCAGGCATCGAGTTATCAGGTTTCCTCTGATAACGATCCTTACGGATATTACATAACTATGCTAATATCCGGCCGATCTTTTCAGACATTCCTACTTCTTACCATTGTCACTGAACCCATTTGAGTATCATTGCAAGTGTAACTGAACCAAAGGCACAGTAACAGTACCATTTTTGGCCCTCTGTTTTGACATCATTCTATGTATACAAAACCAGACCCTGCCCTTTTTTTCACACATCCAATCAAACTGTGTTCTCCATTAAACTTGAAATATAAAGTTTTTTTTTTCTAAAAAACCCTGATTTTGATACCATCACCAGTGCAGCCTCCTGTGTTCTGTCTGTTTTTTTTTTTTTTTTTGTTTCGACTTTGTTGACAAGCTAGCCTACATCTGTCTTCACTTTGCGGCTGCTCTTTACTCTGCGGTTGTAAGTGATTTGATTAACTCCTGTTTGATTTACGGTTGTCCTTGGGAAACTACGGACAAAGTGCAAAACTGAGACTCTTAGGAAAAGTTGAGAGCACTTGTTTCCTCACTGAGAGTCACAGCGGAGAGAGCGGCTCACGATGAAGTCGTTCAGCTTCAGATTTAGAAAAAAAAAGTGTACGATGACATCTCTACTAGGGATACTGTAGATAAATACAAGGTTTTCACGTTCGATACCGAGATCAATATCATACCTTCTTTTCTCCAGCATGCTGCGGTCATCTTTTCCTAGATGACTTTCCTAGTCCTTGCATATGATTGGCTGCATGATGCACCCATCAAAATAAAGTCCCGCCCTAACCAGGAGCGGCTATTGGCACCAGGTATCAGAGATATCGGATCGTACGAACTATAGTTGCTTTTGTGCCCATCAAAATAAAGTCCCGCCCTGCCTGTATGGATTCTCAGCAGCGCTAAGCTGTTGGCACCAGGTATCAGAGATATTGGATCGTACGAACTATAGTTGCTTTTGTGCAATATTTCGATCTTCAACTTTTGACCGACATTGGACCAATCCTGTGTATCGGATCCAGCCATCCCCAATCAGTGGTTACATCAGTGGTTCCCAAAGTAGGGGGTGGGCCCCTGTTTGGGTCATAGCGTTATTGCAAGGCTGGTGCTGGAGGTCAAAAAAACACTGGGACAAAAATATATCAAAACGATTTGTAATTTCGATTCAATCTTTTCTCAGTGCAGAATATCAATTTGTTGGTTTTAAAAAGTTCCAAAGAAATTACTGCATGTGTATTGACATGTTAGTGGTGCGATCATTTCCAGACATTGGTCACATGTCATGGTTGTGACCAATGTTGATGCCCCTGGATGGACCTGGTCTCAACATCAGGTCCCGGTCACCAAAGAGTTTGGTTGTGCTGTGGGAACGCTGTGCAGTAAGAGACAAGTGAGCCTGGTACCAGAGGGAATAACTGATGGCCAACTTCCCCGAGGAGGAGGCTAGTGAGTAAAGGGTATAAAGTGATTAAGATCACAGGCGAAGAAAGTAGAACCATGTGAGGAGTCTGCATTTTTTTTTAAATACAGTTCTAAGTTCTGGGAGTTGAACCTCTTCACACTTCTTCCTTCATCACAGCTGAGGCCGGACACAGTGACGTAGGAGATGGGAAACAGTGTTCTGGAAAAGAAGGCTCGAACAGTAAAGTTTAACATTTTTGGAATATTCCCACTGATGTCAGTCTTTTCTCCTTACTCAAAGTACTGTGAGGACGAGGACCGTGTTAGTACGAGGAAACGACCGTCTGACTCCAGGTCACTTCAGTCCCAGTCGCCTCAGTGGTTAAGTGACGCTGCGTACACTTCCTGTGCACTGGAAGTGAGCTGAGGTTTGAAGCCTCAAATGCTGCCCAGTGTGGGTCGGACCAGGCCAATGGTAATAAAGCCTTTTATTTGATGGCCTTTTGCAGCCGGCCAGTTCTCCAATTTTATATTTCCCTTTCTCTTCCAAAGATTTCCCCTCTGAATTTTACTCCAAGCCCCAGACATTCTCTGCAGTGAAATGCAAAAAACAGAAAGGATTTTATTAAAATGAATAAATGAATGTTATTCTAATGGAATGCAACAAAATCAATAATAAAAAACAAATGGCATCAAATTTACAAACAGCATCGCTGCGTCATCCAGGTTCGTACGCAGACTCGGTGCCAGTGCGCAGTGTGCGGCGGCGTGATTGATACATTTCCAACCAAAACCTGGAAAAGGAATGAAGTCCTTTTGAACATGGAGGGAGATTGACTCCTCCACAAATATTCAGGCAGCGTGCAGACACTGGGTTTCCACTGACGGAGATGCCAACAGCAACAGCACTCCCCTTTGGATTTGGTGGGTGGAGAGGCTACGGCTACGGTTGACCTTGTAAAAACGGAGCTTTAATTGGTAATGAATGATTCCACTTGTCCTTGTTTGCCCCATCAACCTGTCACTGAAACGTCCCCCTAGTGGGAGATGAACCGAAGAACTATTCTGAGAGTTTTATGGAGGAAAAACAGCAAAACTCATCAATTGGAATCTTCAGCTACACCACAAAAAAAAAAAAAATTAACACTGAGTGAAACATGTTGCTCTAAAAATTTGAATTTCACTTGTTCCATCAATAGAGGTCAAGTGAGGTCACTTTTACTTCTAAACATGTCGCTCTAAAAATTTGAATTTCAATTGTTCCATCAGTTGAGGTCAAGTGAGGTCACTTTTACTTCTCTGGCTGCTGGGGCAAAAACTGTTGCGCTTGTTGTGTCGGGCAGATTTGTGTACAAGAATATTACCTTGTTATTTATACTGTCCTCCTGTTTGTTTGCAGTATTACTGGACCAGTGAGGGGGCAGTGATGACATCATCGGAGGCAGCCATATTAACTGTTATGAATTATGTATTTAAAAACTCACAACAGAAGCACAGTCAATTATATGGCGAAAAAATGGCGACTATAAACAAATCAAGGACTAGGAAAGTCTTCCACACGTAGCAGAGTGTAACGACATTAGCGTACGTCGCACTCCCC